TGTTAGTGAAAAGTTGTTGCTGATGGGGACTGACAGAAACTAAAACTATTGTGTTTTGGTATTTATCATTTTTTGGTATTTATCATTCTTATATTCCTTTTATTTCAAAATAAAAACTTAGTTAAAACAAATTTAAGTGTGGACTGTGTACATCTAATCCAGCAGGAGACTGATTAATAACATTAGTCACAATTTTACCCCGTGGTTAGATTGAAGGACTATGGGGTGTTTTTGCCTTCCTCTGTAGCAGGGGTCATGGCCCTCTACCTGGGATCTCTTGAGCATATATTAACAGCCTATAATAGAAAAAGAACATTGGCTGCCATATTTTCCCTGCTTTACCTGTGGCAGGTTATGGTGCTCTGTCTTGTGTTGTGTCAGGGTTGATGGTACTTTTATGAAGTTTAGATTATGGATTTCATAGCTTTCATAGACATTAGGGCTGGAAGGGACCTTGGAAGATCATTGAGTCCAGCCCCCTACCCCAGGGGCAGGTAGTCAACTGGGGTCATAGGATCCCAGCAAAATAAACATCCAGATTTCTCTTGAAGGTGTTCAGTGTAGGTGCTTGAACCACCTCCGATGACAGGCTATTCCAGACCTTGGGGGCTTGGACAGTAAAGAAGTTCTTCTTTATGTCCAGCCTGAAACGGTCTTGCAGGAATTTATAATCATTCAACCTTGTCATCCCTTGGGGTGCTCTGATGAACAAATGTTCCCCCAGATCCTGGTGAACACCCCTGATAAACTTATAGGTGGCCATCAGATCACCCCTGAGCCTGCGCTTTTTCAGGCTAAAGAGCCCCAGGGCTCTCAGCCTGTCATCGTAGGGTCTGCTTCCCTGACCTCTGATCATGCGCGTGGCTCTTCTCTGGACTCTCTCAAGCTTCTCCACATCCTTTTTGAATTGTGGAGCCCAAAACTGGACACAGTACTCCAGCTGCGGCCTCACTAAGGCCGAGTACAGGGGGAGAATGACGTCCCGGGATTTGCTTGAGAAAACTCCACAACTCCAAGGAGTTTCAGTTTGCTACATCGCAAGTCATTTAAGTCACATTAAATCACATCCCAAGGCACATTATGCCACTGAATTTGCTACAGCAGCTGGAATTACTGCGCAATATGCCGTCGCCACATGCAACACCAACACCATTATAGTGGTGCGGAATCATTTAACCTGCTTTAAACGTCTTGCGCACACGCCCCTCATTTCATCTACACACAGGCTTAAACACCTTTTTCTCTGTATAGGTGCTTATGGTGAATTACAGTTGAGCCCTTTGTGAATTCCAAGAGGGAATTCATTATTCCTCTCATCTGTATTTTTGTCTGAATTGCATTACCATTTACTAACTGTATTAGACTGGCCTATTTATCTTAGTCCACAGCTTCCAGACCTTTATCCCCTCTACAAATTTGAAAATGGATCAAAATAATTTGAACTCTGAATCAAAGGGGGAAAAAAGGATGACTGAAACTAAGATTTATCTTCATGTTACAGTGAGACCTGTACACATATTCATTTTCATGAAATGTAGTTTTGGGTTTCTGATTTCTACGTATCGGAAGGGTAAAAAAAAATCTATATTTATATTTATATCTCCATAGATTGAAAATTGTAATTTGATGTGAACATTAGAGGGTTTATAACATTTTGAAAGTCCCCACGTAATGGATTCGCTTTAATATTTCTCATAGTAAGTTTGCACGCATACAGCCATGAAACATCTGATGTGTAGAAATTCTCTTGCCTTTGAGCTAAGTCAGTATCTAAAGTAATCTCATCCTGATATTCTTTTGATAGGAATCAAAATAACATGTCCTACAGCCCACTAGGGGGTAGGTAGATACTGTTACATTTCTTCTGCTTGTAAACCAAGATTTATTTTAAATTCATTTTTAGTAAATCTTCCATTTGCTGTACTTGTCCAAAGCAATTATGTATGACTGAGTTGACTGTTATAAACAAAAAAAATATTGTAAAATATAGAACAAAATAGAGCATGATTAGGACATAAATGTAAGTAAAAACCTACACCGATCTACAATTTCTGTACAAGGCAAAGATCTAGATATAACATAAGTCAGACTCTAGAAAGGTGCATATAAATTCAGTGCCTGGTGCATTTTGCTGTTGTTGTTTTCTCATTATTTTAATCTTAAATTCAGATATACCTTCTTAATTCAACAAAAACTTCATGTGTGCATATTAGAGAACAATTTGCTTTTGTGGTTTGGATTGTTTTGTTATGTGGATTATTCTGAAAAACTACTAGAAAGCTCTTATACTTAGCACAGCCAATGCAGTACTCTTATTCATTTCAGAGGGAGCAAGAATCCCTCAGCTGCACTTACAACTTTCTTTTCTATAAAAAGCAGACTGCCAATTAACATCAAAAGGGGGCACTCCCTCTAAAATTATTCCAGAGAAAAGGCTCAAAGGACCCGTCTTGGACATTACCCATCTTGCCCTTTTCTGCTTACCATGAGGAATATCAGCAATATAGAAAATTCCTCATATCAAAGAAGTGTTTCAGAATCTACTTGCATGCTCAAGTGAGAGAGTACTTTTCTATGAATTCATTTATACTGAGTATTATTCACTAGTATAAACATGCAGGGAAAACCAAAAATGTATTAGAGTGTCTTTTAACTGCCTTTGTAATCCTGTTTAAATCTATGTAATCATTCTGTATAATTCCACTTACTTCTTTTAGGGCCACTACTTTCATTAAATTTTGACATTTTGATAGGTGACATTGGATAGGTGATTTGGTAGATGAAGAAAACTAATGAACACTTCTCCTTCACCACCAAACTCTGTGTTGTTCATGTCTTTAAGCTTCACCCAAGGAGTCTGGTTTTACATTGCCTCTAATCATAGAGTGCCACTGGGAGTTAATACACCATACTGCTACTTTCATTTCAAACAAGTTTCTCCTGAAAACCTACTTCTACCAAAAAAAAGGCATTTATTTTACTTATTAAACAAAATAAAATGCATTTCACTATGCTGCGCACTAGCCTATCCCCCCCGCCCCTTTTCTCTACACGATCCCTCCTGTACAGGGTATAGCCATCTATCCCCGTGGTCCAGTCATGGGTGGAGTCCCACCAGGTCTCCGTTATCCCTATGACATCGTAATTGTTTGCACTGAGCAGGAGGATGAGCTCCTCCTGCTTATTCCCCAAGCTCCTGGCATTAGTGTACAGGCAGGCAAGTGTCCCCTTGGGGGCCCTAGCCTTGCCCACAGATTGTTCCAGGGCTGGAGCAGGGGTGGGCTCCCTTAAGTGCCTTGGCCTGATGGCTTTGCAAGGATTGCTCAGCGGGCCAGCAGTGGCAGTAGTCCCCCCATCCCCCAACGGGCTTAGTTTAAAGCCTGGTGGAGCAGGTCAGCCAGTCTGACTGAGAAGAGCCTCCTCCCCAGCGGAGAGAGGTGGAGGCCGTCCCTTCCCAGCAGCTCGCTGCCTCTCTCACCAGAGCGGACTGTGGTCATGGAAGCCGAAGCCTTCCTGATGACACCAGTGCCGCAGTCTTTGGTTCACTACCTGGATCCCCCTCTCTCTCCTCAGCTCGTAGCCCGAAACCAGAAGGATCAAGGAAAACACCACCTGCACCCCTAACCCCTTAAATCCCACTCCCAAATCCCTGTAGTGCTTCATGACCCAGCTGGGAGTGTTCCGAGCTGTGTCAGTGGTGCCCACATGGATGAGGAGCATAGGGTAGTGGTCAGTGGGCCGGAGGAGCTTAGGGATCTTCTCCACAATGTCTTGGATAGAGGCTCCTGGGAAGCAGCAGACTTCCCGGGCCAAGGGGTCAGGGCGGCAGATTGCCCCCTTAGTCCCGCTCAGGATGGAGTCTCCCATGACAAACACTTTGCATTTTGTCTTGGGGAGAGTGGGGGCAGTAGCTACAGTTCAGCCTGTGTTGCCTGCTGGGGCTGCAAGAGGTTCATACCTGTTGCAAAGCTCCAGTGGGGCGGAGACCTTGGTGCGGCAGGCCTTGGGGCCCTTGACCACCTTCGTCCATCCCCGTGGCTGGACAGAAGGGGAGGTCCCGGTGTCCTCCCTTGTCCTGAAGGGTGACTGTGGTCTACCCTTCGCCTCCTGGGGGAGAAGGGCCTGGCAGTACGAACTGATCTCCTGCTCACAGTCCCTGATGGCACGCAGTCTCTGGACTGCAGTCTGGAGCTCCTCCAGCTGCGTGCCATAGACCCTAAAAGGAAGCATACCCCACAATGAGGGGTGGCCATGCTCCCAGACCCCAGAGCTTGAAAAAGTGACAGGCAGCCTAGAGCCAGGGGCTCCGTCTGCATGGAGCCTGGAACCATGGGTTCAGTCTGGGTAGAGACCTCTGAGGAGCCAGGGAGCAGGGGCCGCAGACCCCGAGGGGAGCCTTGGGGTGCTGCGTGTGCCCATCTGCAGTATGCTGCTGGTAGGCCAGCTACGGTTGGGAATGCCTATCCTAGCAGGCTCACAGGCAGGGCCTCAGGCCCTCCTGCTCACCCTCCTGCGCAAACTCTGAGCTAACTTGTGCACCGGGCAGACAAGCGTGCCTGTTTGCATGGCCTGTTCGTGAGGCTCCGGTCACATGACTCCCTGGGGGGCTGGGCGAAGTAAGGGCAGGGGCGGGGGGGGGGGCCTCCCTGGCGCCCAATTAG